GTGTGTCACGAACGAAGCGGAAAATCATCGCGCTGCGCGCGGTTTATAACGCTGCGTATAACGTTGCGCGTTCGCCGTGGCTGGAACGCGGACTCCAGCCATGAATTTTATTAGTCATATTCCAGCCCTGGGCCATGGGCTCGACGTGTCTGCTCGAAATTCTGCGCAGCGATCTATTATCCTCCGGGAACGTTGTAAATATAAATGCCATAAATTCGATGCCTCTACAGGGTGTCCTAAAATTGTGATACTCTCGGGAACCATGGGGTTCCTAAGGTTATTCGAAGTAATTTTTTCCTTAGCGAAAGTGCAATCCGCGGCTTCGTTAAAATATAATTTCGTAACATAATTGTAAATAAAATTGTTTTGAAAGGGGGTTACTGAGGGGATCCTATGGGGTTCCTGAGGTTATTTGCAGTAACTTTTTGCTTTACGAAAATTTTCTCCGAAGCTTCGTTTCGGAGTTATCAGCGGAAGACAGTGCGCCAATAAGAGGCTAGCGCTCGGCTGGCGCGCGGCGGCCGAGCCAACTAGCGCGCGGAGCCCGGTTCTGCTGATTGACTCGGCCGCCTTGCGTCGCTCGCCGAGCTCGCCGCTCATTGACGCACCGTTTTTTGTTAATAACTCGTAAACGAAGCCTCGGAGAACGTTTTTGTAAAGGAAAAAGTTGCTTCAAATGTCCTCAGGAACCCCTTGTTTCCGATTGCGAGTGCTTTTGCGATATTCTGTATTCATTGGGATTTTACAAAACTCGTTGGTCTATCTGTTTCTTTAAAAAAGTATGCATTCGCGTGATCGCCCAATTAGTCGAATTATAATAATTGTAATAATTATATATAATTTAATTAAATATAATAATCATAACAATCATAACAATTATAATAATTATAATAATTAATCCAATAATAATGATTATAACAATTAATCCAATTTTAATGATTATAACAATTAATCCAATTACAATGATTATAATAATTAATCCAATTATAATAATTCAGCTGTGCAATTTCGCGAATCGATTTACGAACTCCGCCTAAATTTCTCGGCGGGAAGATTCGAATAGATTGAAAAGGTTTCTGCAAACAGGGTCGCTCGAAGATGTCGGGGACGACAATGCGCCGGCATTAGGGGACACCGGTTAATCGCGTCAATTAACTTGGAAAATTAATTCGGCCGCGACGGCCCACGGAAGTTTCGTTGAAATTTCGTGGGACTTTGACCGTGGCTTTAATCGAATTCCACGGCTCCGTGGCGCGGCACTGCCGCCCACGCCCCGGCGCTCCTCGCGTTTCAGTCGCGTCTGATAAGCGCCGTGTTCAAGGCGGAAACTATTTTCCTCGTCAAAGTCCGTCCGGCATTCAGAGGGAAAGGATTAGAGCGAGGGGGCGAACGAATTAAAAAGAAACACCGTCGCCGTGACGTCACCGCGGACCCCTGCCGTTTCGAAAATTCTCTCCAGCGTCCCGAAAGGATTCGGTCTTCTATTTCCGATTATTTTCGCCCGGCTGAATTTCCGCGCCTCGAATGACAGTCTTCTGGAACTTTTCCGAAGCTACGGACTCGGAAATCTTCGGAAAATGATACTGTTCGACGTTGTTTCAGAAAGGAGAAATTACTAGAAAATGTAGAAAATTGGTCAATGCATTTTAATCTAGCTCGGCGGCACGTGTTTATTGATTAATTTCAGTATGTAGTAATTTCTCCCGGAAATGCCGAATTACGGTTTACCGTGAATTTCCCTTGTGCTGGTTTTATGCCTATGTGATTTGTTGCTGCGCCGGTGCTAAGGGAGGACGGAGTTTTTGGAAGTTGACACAAAATTGTTGTGTTAATAGAAATAGTATAATTATAGTATGCTATATTTTTATGTTATATATTATATACTGTATATTATATATTATTATATTATAGAGTGTAATTATATTATTATATTATATAGTATAATTATAGTATACTATATATTATAATAATTACATTATATATATATAATATATTATACAGTATAATTATAATAGACTATATTTTTATACTACATATTATATTGATATATTATGTAGTATAATTATAGCACGCTATATATTATATACTATAAATTATATTATTATATTATGTAGTATAATTATAATACACTATATTTGTATACTATAAATTATATGATTATATTATATAGTATATTTATAGTGCGCTATATATTATATACTATAAATTATATTATTATATTATATAGTATAATTATAGTACACTATATTTTTATACTACATATTATATTATATAGTATAATTATATAGTGTACTATATCTTTATACTATATATTATATACTATATATACAAATTATATTATTATATTATATAGTATAATTATACTATACTATATTATACATACTATACATATAAATCCGATTGGTATAACTATATTGATAAAAATGTCTTTTACTACAAGCACGCTTTTCTAAAATGACTTTTGTGCCGCGTTCGGGGTGCGATCCGCCCCATAACGCGGCGGGTAAATGGTGAACGGATAAGAAAAACTGGGACGTTTCGTCGTCGTAGGATGAGGAGTAGGAGGAGGAGGAGGAGGAGGCTAGGCCGCCCCTTTTCTCGGAAGAAGGGTCCTTCATTAAAACGCGAAAGTGAGAGGTCGGAGGACGGCGGGGCTCGCGGGGGTTCCGGCGGGGGTACGGCGAGAAGGGGAGACAGGGTTGAATTCTCTCGAGTGTGCAATTCGCTTAATTGTCGTTCAACGAACAAGCAACCCGCGAATGGATTCTACTGCGGTTGTGCATCTCTTTTATTGTTCGGAACGCTGTCCTTCGTCGGCAGTTTTTCTTTCGCCGACGAGGAGCCGTTTGCGGAGTTTGCGTGTCGTCGAGACGTTTCTCGTCGAACGACGTTGTCTCCTCTCGTCGAACCGCGTCACCAAAAATTTCATCGGCGAGTCCTACACGCTTTCGAGTCTCGATTTTTTTTAACGTTCAATTTTTATAGTATACTATAATAATAATAATAAAATAGTATACTATAATTATACTATGTAATATAATAATATAATTTATAGCATATAATATGTAGTATGAAAATATAGTGTATTATAATTATACTATATAATATATTGTATATAATATATATTATTATGTTATAATATTAATAATATATTATATATAATATATACGTTATATACTATGATATAGTATAATAGAATAATATCAGTATATTGATACATAGTTAATTAGACACACGGGCTACAATCATAGCGGAAATTTTTATGCAAAATAACAATTCAAAACTTTTCGATATTTTATTTTTATTAAAATCGTTAATTCCAAGCACTTAAATTCTTTGAAATTAACAAATGGAATTTTTAAATTCACATTCGTATGCTCTATCTATTTCTTATCGAATTATTTACTATTCATTATTTTGTTGCGCTACGTTGCGTTTCAAGAGGGCTCCGCATTCGACGCGGTGTTCCATAATGGGTACATCTACTCGCAGAGTCCTGCGCGCAGAATACACAGTTCCAGGCACAATACGCGAATGATTTTGATGAAGATCGTCTACGTTCGTCGAATAAGTATGCATCGTTACGCGGTAAACACCGTTAGCGAGCAGAATATTCCAGTGAGAGAGAGAGAGAGAGAGAGAGAGAGCTAGGAAGCAGAGAGGGAGAGAGAGAGAGAGAGCTAGGGAGCAAAGAGGGAGAGAGAGAGACAGAGAGAGAGAGTAGGAGAGAGCTAGGGAGCAGAGAGAGAGAGAGAGAGAGAGAGAGAGAGAGAGAGAGAGGGAGAGAGTTCCTGAGGTCATTTGAAGCAACTTTTTCCTTTACAAAAATTTTCTCCGACGCTTCGTTTACGAGTTATTAACGAAAAACAATGCGTCAATGAGCGGCGAGCTCGGCGAGCGGCGCGAGGCGGCCGAGCCAATCAGCGGAACCGGGCTCCGCGCGCTAGTTAGCTCGGCCGCCGCGCGCCAGTCGACCGCAAAGAGGGAGAGAGAGCTAGGGAGCAGAGAGAGAGAGAGAGAGAGAGAGCTAGAGAGCACAGAGAGAGAGAGAGAGAGAGAGAGCAGAGCCACTTACACTGTAGAGGAAGAGATTGGTCTCGTATCCCGTCTTCTTCTCGGAATTCCCGCCGCCCACCATGGGATCGCCATCTCCGCCGGTTCCGCCGCCATCGCCTGTAATCATAAAAAGAATATCTCCATGTATTTTTACCCGTGGAGAATGAAAGCCGTCGTCCAATTCAACCGAGTCGAGCACAAAGCCCATCCTCCTCCCCGGACGGTAATAAATTTGTTTATATATTTATATTTCTCACCATTTATATTCGTTCATGTCAAGGTTATGGTCATAGATTATGTTACATTCGTTCATATTTGTTCATATTCAACGAAAACCGGAAAGGAAAGCTTTGCAACTGTCGTACGACAGTTGCAAAATTCAATTCCGTTTTTATTAATACACATTGTATATAAAACAGAATCACCGCGGATGAAAAATCCTGCTTCGGATTATTTCGAGCGAAAATACACAGCTCCGACTGCGACAGGTTAATAGTAACAGACCGGGTAGACGGTGTAGTTAAAACTGTGTTCGAATACCGTTCGATAAATCCCCGGTCTCGATTGTAAGTAGAAATCGGTTCTTTCCAGCGCCATCTCTCGGCCGTTTTATTTTCTCGAGTGTGCCGCGCGCCCCGCGGCAGCTTCCGCGGGATTCCTATCCAATTTACCGGATTACCAGGCTCAAGTGTATCCTGTCGCCGTCGCGCGGCGCTGCGATCGCCGCGCGCCAGCCGACAAGCTAAATCGCGTCTGAATCTTTAATTCGACGATCGACGGCAGCGCGAGTCAATAATTCAGCGGGACGCGTTTCTATGCGCGTCGAGTGTTATTCGTTCGTTCCACGGCACATTGTCGACTGTTTCGGAAATCTGGCCGAAGCTGAATAGACCTCGTCCCGTGCAAATATTTCTCGATCTGGCGCTTTTGTCACGGGAATTAAGCCGCGGTGGTTCCAGTCAATGCCTATACGCGGACATTCCGCGTATTCTGTGCGGTACTCCGGTTGCAAACGCGGGCTTTACAATTTGTGGATATTTGTCGGAATGTTGTAACATTGATGTTGCATCTGGCTGCCACGTTTTTACGGTGTTGGATTTTTTTTAGTTTCTCGGTATGTTCGAGTCGATGTTTTTGCAATTTAATGTCGCGAACATAACCTTCTGAAATTGCTGAAACGATGGCAGGATCTTACGTTATTATGTTTGGAGCGACTAGGAGTTCGAGTCGATGTTTGGTCGGACATTATTCATTTCTATAAAGGCGTAGTTTACAATTTTTTTGCAATTTATCGTCGCGAACATAACCTTCTGAAATTGCTAAAACGATGGCAGGATCTTACGTTATTATGTTTGGAGCGACTAGGAGTTCGAGTCGCTGTTTGGTCGGACATTATTCATTTCAAAGGCGCAGTTTACAATATTTTTGCAATTTAGCGTCGCGATCATAACCTTCTGAAATTGCTAAAACAATGTTATTATGTTTGGAGCGACTGGGAGTTCGAGTCAGTGTTTTGTCAGACATTATTAATTTCACCGATTCAATCAATTTTCAAACGCAGACTTTACAAATGTTTTAATTTACTATCACGAAAATAATGTTCTAAAATTACTGAAACGGTGGCTAGATCTCAAATTATTGTATTTCTAACGACTAGGAGTTCGAGTCAATGTTTTCTCAGACATTATTAATTCTACTGATTCAACCACTTTCCAAATACAGATTTTGCAATTGTTTTAATTTTCCACTACGAAAATAATGTTTTAATATAATAATAATAATAATATATATATATATATATATATATATATATATATATATATATATAATAATAATATTATAATAATTTGATATTATTACTATTATACTATATGATATTATACTACTATTATTACTATATTCATACTGATCAGTAGTTCGAGTCAACGTTTCCACCGACAATATTAATTCCACTTCGATTCGATCGCTTTCCAACGAATCGAAAATCGCAATAATATTCTTATCGTTGTTATATATCTGAATAACAATATTCTCATTGTTGTTACATATCTGAATAACAATATTCTTAAATTTTTGCGATGCTCTGTAAACTCGTTCTTTCACAAATTTTTGCCTAAAACACGAAACAAAATTTTTCCAATTTTTTCTTACGGTCCACTTGACAAAACAATTACTTTAATTAATTAATAATATTACTTTTATATTTATTATAGTTATACTTTTATTAATTAATAATATTATTCTGAAAATCGCTGCTCTCCTTTTCCGAGTCTGAAAAAATTACGAAAAAAAATTACGTTGCAAAAAAAATCACGCTCGTCGAAATAACGTTCTGCGTTCGACGGATTGATACGTCGATCGATCGGCGGCAGGGTTGCGGCAACCGCGCCCGTCGGCCCGGCATAGGCGTCCCCGTCCGCGACGTGCCTCGACGTCAAATCGACGGAACCGCCGCCGTTTCCCGCGGCCACCGTATTTCTGGCCGCAATAACGAATTACGTGCGTAAGCACGTTCCAATCCGGCGGCAATTCGCGGTGCGCCGCTCGCTCGAATTCCGCGCCCGTTCCACGGCCGACATTTCGCCGGACCCGTCTGTCTCTCCTTCTCCTTCGTCGACCCCGTTGTTGGCGCCGCGACGACGTCCCCCTGCGAAACTTGCCAACGCGGACCACCACGGGAAGTCGCTGAAAATTGGGACGCGCGCTCGGCCGCGTCGCGTTTCCTCCGCCGTCAATCGTCAACGCGATCTCGTGCCACGGAAATATTTTTCCCTTGCAAAATATTTGGATCGTATCTGAATATATTGAAATTGATGTTATTAAGTTGAGCGAACGTTAATTTAAATAAATTTAAATAAATTTAGATAAGAAGATAATATTGAAATTATTAGAATACTTAAAATATTGAAAATATATTCAAAAGGTATTTGAAATATTTAAAAAATATTTGAAGTATTTAAAAAATATTTTATATTATATTATATTATATTATTATATTATATTATTATATTATATTATTATATTATATTATATTATATTATAAAAAGTATTTAAAAAGTATTTAAAATATTCAAAACATATTTAAAAGTATTTAAAATATTTAAAACATACCTAAAATGTATCTAAAATATTTACAACATATTTAAAAAGTATCTAAAATATTTAAAACACATTTAAAAAGTATTCAAAATATTCAAAACACATTTAAAAAGTGTATTTAAAGTATTTAAAACAAATTTAAAAAGTATTTACAATACTTAAAAAACACTTAAAATGTTTAAAAAATATTTAAATAATTTCTCACACGTTCGCGCTTCGAGGACTTTCATACATTTCGACTGAACATAATTCTTAATAATTTTCAACAATTTTCTGAGCGATTCCTGACAAATCGTCATTCAATTTCCACATTTTCCAGTCAAATAACATTATGAAAAATTAAGCAAAGTTTCCAAATTGTTCCAAACGGTCCGATTTGTCTGAATATAATATTTGCAAAAAATAATCAGTTTTCCTATACTTTGACTGAACATAATTCTTAAGCATTGTCAACGATTTTCCAAAGTGCTCGAAACGAATGGAACTGTCTGAGGAACGCGGCATTTGCATCGCGGATAATAGATTATACGGTGTTGCCGTTTTGGCATCGCGCTGCGTTAATCCGCGTGCCAGAACGAATGCAATTAGAAGTGCAATCTCTCCGAAGAGCTGATCCTATGGAAATTTCAAACAGATCGAACGTAAATTCATTATTCACGAGTGAAACGGCGTTAACCTCGTTCGATATGCGAATATGTACAAATTAAACAAAGGCTCGCCGTTCGCGCAAATTAATCGAACAGCATCGCCGGATCCGGCAACACCGTCGTTCATTAGCGGGAATTTGTAGAATCGAGTTTTCCATTTGGCCGCGAACCCTTCGGGCAGAATACGCGTCCACGTAGGCGCAGTGGTGGGGGGAGACATTGAAGTGGAATTAATATTTTTAAATTGGATCTTGTCCTTTTTTTTATCCATCGCTCCATGTAGTGAAAATGACGTAAATGAAACGCAATATGCGTCGGACGAACTCAAGTCGCTAGCTGAACTCTACGCGGCTGTATCGGCTAGCTGTCCCAAAATTATGGCATCTGCGAGAAATGACAGATTCCTGAGGTCATTTGCAGTAACTTTTTCCTTTACAAAATTTTCCTCCGAGGCTTCGTTTAGGAGTTATTAACGAAAGACGGTGCGCCAATGAGAGGCGAGCGCTCTGACACTGGCGCGCGACGCCCGGCTCCGCCGATTGGCTCGGCCGCCTCGCGCCGCTCGCGTAGCTCGCCGGCCATTGGCGCACCGTTTTTCACTAATAACTCCGAAACGAAACCTCGGATTGCATTTTCGCAAATGAAAAAGTTGCTCGAAATTGCCTCGGGAATCTTCTCCGACCACTTGTTAACGTAATTATGGAAAACTCTGTAGATTTTGCGGGCGGATCGAAAGGGAATCAGAGGAGATCCCGAAGGGAGATTAGAGGGACACACGTTCGCCAGGAAATTAGCGTGTCTGGTAAACGTCGTCGTACTTAGAGAGTACATCCTCTCGGCGCGGCGCGACGCGAACATTCATTTCGACTCGTTAAATGGATTCCGCGCGGTCGATCCGCGCGGCGGACCCATTGTCGTCGTTATAGACATCCCTAACGAAGGATGAGTGGCGAGAGGGCGGCTCACAAAGGGACAAAGCAACAAATCAGCGGAGTTAATATTGACCGGCCTAGTTTTTCGAATGGTGCGGTGGCCGGCGGGCGGTCTCTCTCGCGGCGGTGTTCGTTCGGCACCGCCCCCTGTGTTTCGTGTAACGAGCTTCTCTCTTTCTAATTGCCGTGCGCTCTTTTAACCTCGAGATCGCCTCGAGAATCTCATTATCATTCCGATCGAACCGTCCCCAGCGAGAGAGCATCGACGACGGCTTTTCCTCGTTCTACCGAAGGTTCCCGTTCGTCCGCGGAATCCGGCGGACGCGGACCGGAACAGATTTTTTCATACGTTTCGAATGAAAATCCCCCCCGGAGGAAAAAGTGTGTCGCAGTTTCTTTCGCGAACTTCGTCCGTTTAGCTCTAATTAAATACTCATTT